AGTAATAATAATAAACTCTTAACTAGCTTTATTTATACATCTGTTATAAATTTTAGAAACCATTTGTATTTCATACTTTTCATCCCCTAAGGTTTTACTGGCATTGATTAATTAATTAGCTTGTAAAATAACCATGAGATTTGTATATCATGTGTTCATTCATTAGCAAATATTTATTTATGGATTCATTTATTCATTCAAGAAATATTTATTGCATGTTTAGTAATATTTTCAGTCTATGGCTTCAAAAAAAGAACAAGGTGTGAAACTTTCTTTTGCTGTAGTAAATTTAATAAATCTGATAAAAGATATGGACAGTTACGTGGGTAGTAAGAAGTTAAACAAAACAAAACTATGATTATGACCATGTTAAGTATGAATTCCCTGAAATACAGTGTTGGAAAAACTAATTCCATCTTGGAGGCAAGATAGTGGGTACATTTGAGAAATAGGAGTTTGAGGAGAATTATTAAACATATCAAAAGAGCTACATGAAGAATGCAAGAGAATGTCACGTAGGGAGATTACAAAGCTATGTCTACTAGTGTGGTGAGGGCCCATTCAATTATCTGCATGATCATGAGATTTCTTTTTATGGCAATGCTTAGCAATTTGAATAGAGGACCAGAGAAAGTGCACAGTTGTATTAAACCAGAATTGGAGTTTTGCCAAATACAGAAGAGAGTAAAACAGTTGGGCAAGAGAGTTGAAGAGACTGTCAAAAGAGCAGTTAAAATGATAGGCAGTGACTTCTAACCCTGAGTCTAATCGGAAGGAAGGAAGTGAAGATAGAAAGGTTGCTGATAGATAGGGAGAGTTAGAAGGGTCAAGGAATTAGAGGTGTTGATTAAATGGAAGAACAGTTGAAGAAAAAAATAACTGTGAGAAAGGCTCAGAGAAAGTTTTCAGGATTTAATGACTATCACATTCCAGACACTGTGCTAAATGCTTAGAAAGAGCAAAAGTCATGATTCCTGTTCCCAAGGGCTGCAGCTAAATATAGGAGATAAGAACTGGCATCAAGACACTGATACTACACAGGGATTTGTGAATAATCACAAGATAGAAATAAGCACAGGACTGTAGGCACAAAGAAGTCAGATCTGTTCTCATCTTAAGGGGTTTCATTAAGCCAGACTTAAAAAATGCACTACATTTCAAGAGAATGATTAGGTGATGTTGCGGGAAGAGGAGAAGTTTTCAGCCAAAGTTCAGAGAAAGGATATAGACAATGATGATCCCAGGGCCAGAAATTGTTAGAATTCAAAAAAACAGCATTTATCAATATGCAGGTTCTGACTCATTAGGAAGTTTTGAATTTTACTTGGTGTTTAGCATCTAGTTTTTTCCAAATACAACGAATGAGAAGAAAATACTAGACTGCATCACACTTAATAGCAGTAGGTATTATTTGTGAAAATATTGTTCCAGTTGCAATTGTACTTACATTTATGTATGTTGTTGTTAAATGGTGTTGAGTTGTAGATGACTCATAGAGACCCTGTGAATGAAAGACCTGAATACTTGTATAACTTTAATCATTTTGCCAAGTTCAAAGGGTTCCGGAGGCAAGCTATTTTGGAAGTGGATGCCACTCCTGCTTCCAGGCTTGTTTTAATCGGGGAGCGCCACCAAACACTGTCCACCATGGGTAACCATTATCACATTTGACACATCAGTGTCACAGTGTTCAGCCTCGCAGCAACCCCAAGTCCCCTCTGTACAGCAAATGTACAGACATAGTGCTTAGAAGAAACATTCTTAGAAGAATGTTTGACCAAAAACAATTAAAACCAGGCCTGAGGGCTGCAGATTAAAATCACCTACTTTTGGCTTGGTAGCATCACTTTCTATCCACTAGGCCAACAGAGCTCTCTCGCTGTAGAACATATACTAAAAGAATAATATACATATGAAACACTTATATTACATTATGTGGAAAATACATATGTGTAACATATTATATATAATAACTATATATAGTTATTGTTTTGTGAATAATATATATGTGTAACACATTATATTTGTTGTTGTTATGTGCCATCAAGTCATCTGCAACTTATAGCAACCCTATGTACAACAGCCCTAAACTCTGCTCTATCCTGTGCCAATCTTATTGTCTCTGACACCTACCACAGTTATCCCAGTCACTGAGTCAATCCATGTCATCGAGGGTCTTCCTCTTTTGTACTGTCCCTCTAACCTCTCAAGCATGATATCCCTCTCCAGGAATGGGTTCCTCCTTGCAACATGTCCAAAGTATGTCAGATGAAGCTTCAGAATCAGTTCACCCTCTCTAGGATGAAAATATTTGTTCTCCTAGCAGGCCATGGTATATTCAATACTCTTCTCCAGCGCCACAGCTCAAAGACATAAATTCTCTACACACACACACACACACACACACACACACGCATGCGTGCACTAAATTCAGGCTACAGTCTTTTCTTTTCTTTTTTTTTTTGTGTGTGTGTACCGTCAAATCAGATCTGACTGGTACAGGAGGAGATTGCTCCTCCTTCTCCAGCAGAACATCTTTGGATTCAAACCCCGTACCTCTGGGATTGCAGTGCAGCTTCTTGCCCCAAGGCCACCAGAGCGCCCCTTGGCTACGATCTTTTCAATCACTTGCTGTGACTTCGAGAGAGTCCCAGATATCCCATGGATTGTCAAAGAACAAATATATCTTGGAAAAAGTGCAGCCAGAATGCTCCTTGGATGCAAGGATGGTGAAGCTTCCTCTCACTCACTTTGGGCTTGTTGGTAGGATGGGCAATTCCATGGAAAGAGACATCATGGTTGTAAAGGTAGGAAGACCTTCAACAAGATGGATTGATACAGTGACTGCAGCAATGGGCTTAAATAAGTCAGAGAGGATAAGAAGGAAACAAAATAGGACAGGGTTCAAATCTGTTGTTCATAGAGTGGCTAAGAGTTGTACTCAATTCAGTGATAACAAACAACAAACAAAACACAACTCTCTGTGTGTGTGTGTGTGTGTGTGTGTGTGTGTGTGTGTATGTGTATTTGTTGTTGTTGTGTACCATCAAGTCAGAATGGACCCATAGCTGACCTTTCAGTGGGTTTTCAGAGGCAGTTAATCGCATGGGAGGAGATTGCCCATCCTCCTGCAGGGCAGCTGGTGGATTGAACCATGTTCCTTCAGGATTGCAGTGCAGATTCTTACCACTAGTCCACTAGAGCTCCTACACACACACACCACACCACACACACACACACACACACACACACACACACACACTATTATAACTTCTATTACCTATATCATGGGAGTAGAATGGGCAATCTCCTGTGCAATTGAACTGCCTCTGAAAACCTGCTCGAGAGTCAGCTACGTGTCAGTTCTGACTTGATGGTACACAACAAAAACAACAATATAATAATAACAACATAATATATATAAACTATATAATATGTAATATTATATATATCAACAGGTATATCTATTTCTTGGAAGCAGGAGTGGCATCCACTTCCTAAACACCATGCCTCCAAACCCTCTATGAACTGATAAATGTTGATAGTTAGAGAAAGACTTCAGGTCTTTTGTTCACAGGGTCACTAGGAGTCGTGTTTGACTTGAAGGTAATCAACAACAACACCAACATATATATTTCTTACTATGAATTTTTTAAAACACAAACTCATAAAAAAAACCAACCAACCCCCCGAAACCCTCGTACACCACAGAGCAGGCCAACTTTATTTGGTAAAATTGGAAACCAAGGTTTGAGAGAACAAACATTTTGCCTGATTTTGGAACCAGATTTTGTCATCACTAAAAGTGACTCTTGGTTAAGATTCCCCTTCACTTACACCAGATTTTATATAGATATAGATGATTAGATATAGATGAGATCTAGATCTAGATATAGATATCTAGTCTCAGGGTGAAACATAAATATGTTAGTGAAATAGCAAATATATTAGTGAAATGGAGTGCATAAGTCTGAGGGAATAGGCTAAGCAAAGTGAAAGCCTCACTTTCTAAGAAATATGAACTTCCGTTTTAGACAGTAGAGTCATTAAAGGGGTTAGAGTTAAGAGAAAATGGCCTGACTAGAGGGAATTTATGTAACCAAGGTCTGTGGAATGGATTATAGAGAGGAAGAGATTGGAGTCGTGTTTCCCCTTAGAAGTTTATTGATGTGGTCTAGCCCACTGCTTCTCAAACTTCAATGAGCAGATAAATGACCTAGTATCTGAGTCAGTAAGTCTAGGGTGAAGCCTGAGC